GATAAAATAATTGTTGTCTTTATTTGTATATGGGCTGTGGAAATAATAATAATTAAAAACAAGAAGCTTGCAATATGGAAAAAAAGAACTCTAAATGAACTAGTTAATTTTTTGAAGTATGAACTATGAACTGAACTGGTTCATTTTAAAATGTGTGACCTGAACTTTGATCTAGTTCATGAAAGTGAACATTCCCAACAGTGCCATTAACACACTACTCAGAGAAGCTGGAGAGACACTGGAGTTAAGAAGAGTAAACCAGCGTCAGACTGAGAGGGAGTTTAACAGATAACAGAGGATTGCTGGGAGATTTCAAGTCTCGGGGCATGGGTTTGGATGCTGTGAAGTGTTTGTCCTCTATCGAGTGTGTGTGTGTGTGTGTGTGTTGAACCTGTGTGGACCTGCAGCACATTCCTCCCTCATTCTCCACCGGAACAACAGCAGGACAGACTCGGGATGGAAACATCTCTTCACGGATGAGCTCGTGACTCAGATCGCTGTGTGTGTGTGTGTGTGTTTCTCCTCCGGCTACAGATGAGTCTCAGCAAACACACACACACACAGCAGACTGACATTGAATCAACGTGGAAATATGACATAGAAACAACGTTGATCTGACATTGTTTTGCTCATCGAATTAACGTTGAACCAACGTCAGATGCGTCATTCTTTCAAAACTAACGCAAAATCAACTTGAAATCAACGCGTTGTTTCAACGTTATGAAAGCAAACCAATTTTCGATTTTCATTTAGCTTTGAAGAATGCCGCGTCTGACGTTGGTTCAACGTTAATTCGATGAGCAAATCAACGTTGTTTCAATGTCATGAGAGACGTCGTTTCCACGTTGATTCAATGTCAGTTTGCTGTCTGGGACACCTCTTACACTCGTATATTCAACATGTATGATGATCTTATCGTAGTAGTGTTTTCTCTGGTGGATGGGAAAGATCATTAATCTTTAAAGTTCAAATAAATGAATTTAAAGTAAACACAATCAAAGTGATGATCACCAGGATCATGTGCGATCACAGAAGACAGGGAGCGTTCTGGCACAGTTATGAACACACTCTCCTCCAGTGACGTTAATAACGCGTTTCTTCAAAGGTATCTGGTCTTTAATAATGTTCTCAAAGCATTATTTATATATCGCTCATGGAAAGTTTTCTTCCTGATATTTTTAGTAATGTTTTTAAATTTTATATAATATGGCTCATCTTAAAATATGTTCACTGATCACAGAAACACTGCGTTAGACTGAAAGAGAAGCGGTGTGTGTGTGAGAGAGATGCACATGTGGTGTGTGTGTGTGAGCGTGAGAGCAGTGTGATGGTGCGCAGCCCTGCACCCACACACACATCTTGGCATTAAACCCACAGGATGTAGACTGAAGAGAGGCAACAAGACTGTTAAAATCATTTAAAGAGTTTATTTCTAGAGCACATGTTGTGTTCGGGTCATGATGACCCAGAGAGGGTTTCCCCTGCTGCTAGTCAATAGCCGCGTTTCCACTGCCGGGCTAGGGCTGGGCCAGAGCTAACAGCGAGCCGGGCCGAGCTAGTGGCCTCGGGCCTCAAGCACCGGGCTTGCGTTTCCACTGCCGGGCCAGTAGCCCCACAGCGCTGCCCCAGACCCCACCCCTAACACGCCTTTCAGGATCAAACGTCATAAAACCCAACCCATTTCAGCGGGTATTATGAATTAATTTCTTTTTTAAATTAGGAAGATAGCATGTATATTAACTCAACTGCCGTAGTGGCTTCAATAGTGTCCCGAGACCAGTACAGGCGATTCTCCATTTCAAGCAGCGATTTTTTGCGCGATATAACAAGTAGGGCTGCGGGCACGTTTTCAAGTTATTCATTAATCGTTAACCGAGGCCCATCGGTTAATACTCGGTGCATAGTGTGTGCGCCGCAACCTCGAGATACAGAGTAAATTTTTAACACCTTTAATAACTGATTGGACCCCATTTGAAACGAAATTAATTTATAGAAATAAAATGCAGCAAGTACGGAGCAGTTAAAGCCCCATTTCCATCACCCTTCAAACTGAAATTGCCAATTGAAAATAAGCAAAACGTCCATTTCACAAAAACTCTTGAGTTAGTGTCTGCAAATAATAATAATAACCATCATCATCATTATTGTAACATTTTATTAGGCTGCATAGCCTATGTAGAAGACGTCTTTATCCAAAAAAGGAACAGAGCACAAATAAACACAATATTTTTGACAAATATCATCCAGTGTGTGTGGAGCACGCACTGATGGCTGCGAGACGCCCATGTGATTTCATTGCATTTCTTTCAGTGGAAACAACTTAAAATACTCTTTAATTTCTGGTCATACAGAAAATAATAATACATTATTCGCAAATAAATTTATTTATAACAAGAAAACGTTGTGCTTTAACAATTAATCAAGGCGCGCTTCATGATCTCCGTGAACTGAAGCGCGAGACCTGAAACAGCCACCGCATTCGAATTTGTTCGTTTTAAATTGGACATTTAAAGCTTTAGTCTACAGGGGTTATATCCTTTGTAGATTAAAGCTTTAAATGTCCAATTTAAAACGAACAAATTCGAATCGAAAGCCAATATCTTCTATGTTTATGTAGCTTAATTTCTCTCTAAATGTGCATCCGGAGATGGAGATATGTTTTTAGCCGAAAATCATTTAGAAAACAATAGTTTATTAATAAACAATTAATGCCTCGTTATTTTATATTATATCAGACACATTTATTATAGCCTATAAATCACCCATAAATCCCCTTTCTGTAGGCTGTGGTTACGGCTCTTCTCATTCAGCACTGCGGGGAAAATATCATTTCCATGTTCTAATTTGGCCTCAGAAAACCAGTAAAATATATATTTTTTTCATATTAATTTGTCAAATATTTTAAATGTTTAAGGGGCAAAAAAATCAAACAAATATCTGAAAATTCGTCGATATGTAGCCTATATATTTTTGCGCAGATTTTGGCATAGGCCTACAGTTCAAATTAAAATGTTATGCAATTTTAAACGGTTAATCGGTTAAACATGGACACCCCTGTGCATCTTGCTTCAGATAACCTTCTATAACACCGATAAACTCCGCCTTTTACCTTGAGCACGCCTCTAGCCCGAGCTGGCCCCCTCTGGCCCAAGGTATTCGACGGGCCAGAAATCCTGGCCGTTGGCCCTGAGGAAGCCCCGATCAAGCCCCGGAAGTGACAGTGGAAACGCGACTGGCCCTGGCACGCACTAGCACGGCCCGGCCCTGGCCCGGCAGTGGAAACGCGGCTAATGTGGACTAAAATGTACTGACTTTACACACCCAGAGTCTAATAACGTCCCAAAATGTTTTGATATTTTTTTGTGTGGGTTTTTCCATATTGTAACACGAGTGATGTTCCTGGTCAAAAGATTGCTTATTAAGGCAATACAACCTTACTAGCTAATCAACTGGCCTCGGTTAATTATACAAGGTTAAACACGTTTGCAAGAAGCACACACACACACACACACATACACACACGTTATGTTCTGCAGATTATGCACTATAGATCTGGCAGTCGCGGTTAAACCACACACACACTCTGTGTCAGAGGACACACGCCGTTCTAAACATAAACCAGCACTTATTAATAAATATGGGAATATAGGCCATTCACATATTTGTGAAGCACTGTTAAATATATTGAAAAGCATTTTAAAACATATTGTATTCCTCATACGTGTAGCCTGCAGTGTGATAAAATATATCCATGCCGTATATCATGCATTTAATAAATGTTTTTGCAATTTTATTTCACATTAACCATTTGTAAAGCTATATAATATTATAGGCTATTAAATATTATTTTATATTATTATTACTTTCTCAATGATTTCATATTCTCTGTTTACAGTTTGGCCTACTATTCACTCAATAATGTATCAAATTTCAGGATATGTTTTCAGATTATTATTAAAAATACATAGGCTACTGCTCTGGTCACTCTGCTTTCTCAGGTTAGAGATAGGCTTGCTCCCATTCTGAAAACCCAGAGTTTCCCTCATTTCAGGGTTAGCATACTCAGAGTTTTCACAAAAGGCCCTATTCTTCATGAGTCACACATTAACATGTGATTATCGGTGCATTAGTTAAGTATGAATTAATAGCGTGTGTTGTGTGGATGTACTTCTGTTCAGCACGCCTGTCATCTCGTGACTTTATCAAAGCTCTCTGGCTTTCTTTTCTTGCATCACTCGGTACAACGACACGATGATTTTCTCCTCAGTTTATTACTTTAAATCTGGAAACATGACGTGCATGGTTGTGAACACAAGAGGGCAGCAGAGCATCTTTCAATTCTGTTCATTACACCAACACTTCAACTGAAACTAGTGCAAACAACAAATACAAGTCATATCAAATATATCATCAGTACGAAGCTTGGTTCAAGCAGTGACTCAGATGACTCAATATGTTTACTCTGATTTGAAAAGTACTGTGTACTTTGAGAGGTTCAGTTTTTTTGGGACATTTAGCCTGAGCAAAATATAGAACATGGTGGAACATGGAACATAGCAACATGGTTCTGGAAGTAAAAAAAAACCAATTATTATTATTATTGGGATATAAACTCTGAAATGAAAAGTCAAAATAACCCTTTGTATTTTTTATTCTGTGGCAGAAACAAGTTTAGTTAGTCTTCATATTTCAGTTTTTCTCGTTCTATTTACACTTTCATTCGCTTGAAATGAAGGCAAGGAACAACTAATATTTATTTAATAAAGATTTAATTTATTTATATAATTTATTAATAATTTCAAGTTCAGTGATGTAATAAACGAACGACTCTCTGAAACACTAAAGTAAATGCACATGTGTACTGGGACACAACAGGATGGTAGGAGATTCTACAGCAGGAGAGACTCCAGCTGATGGAGAATTTTGAGAGCAGGAACACACACACACACACACACACACACTCGTCTGCAGCAGGAGAGAGCAGCACAGCAGAGGAACGCACAGGTCAGTGACTGTAACTTGATTTCTGACGGTCTGTTGATGCTTCTGTGGTCATAGACAAACAAATGAATAACATTACTATACATTTACAAGGTTTTATTCATTTTGGACTGCATGACTCATTGATGTCATGAATAATGGTTCATGTACCAACGAACATTTATCTGCGTAATCCACTGAATGCTCTGTAACGCACCCTATAAAGCCAGTCAGGTCCAGATGTGTGTACATGAGGAATCCTCAGGTCTGGTGGATGGGGATCGCTCTTTCTGTGTTTGTAGAGCAGCCGTACGCCTCAATTACTCAAATATATATAAAGTGAAACGTTTGCACTACTTGTCTATGGATGTATTAGATGCATGCAAGCCTTTATGCTGAAGGACAAACTCACTTTATCTTCAGTAAACAGACTGAAAGTGACGATTAGTTAGTTATTGTGTGAGTTATTGAACAAACCCCGATCCGGCTTGAGACGCAACTTTACCCGATTGGGTTTCTTCCAGCGAGATTTCTCATCCAGCTCTCAAACACTGTTACTGTGAGTAACTTTTTCCACCCTGGTTTTGAGTCTGCTAAGCTTTACGTGTCTTGCATTTTCATGTTCAGAGTGTACTATACATTTAGAGTACAGTAGATCACTCCTGACAAATCTGCAAATGTTTATGCAGGATTACTATTGTTGAATTTAACAAAAAAGTGACATGCAAAACCTCTGAATGTGTTTTTTTTTTTTTGGTTGTTGGTAGAATAACAGCTAATTATCCATATTCTCCTGGTGTTTTTATTGAATTCATATACTGTATGCCACACATGGTCAGTGTTTTGTTCCTTTTTGTGAATAATTGGGATCATAGTTATTAATATCCACCTTTATGCTTCAACATTGTGGATTTATTCTCAAGTGTTTCTTTAATTCAGCAGCGATTGAGTTACGGAGCATCTCAAATGATTTATCGTTTGACTTTTCCATCCCTATATATGGCAGAGCAGAGAACTACAAGTTCAGCTTATTTTCTTTGACTCGGGATGGCAACAGATCCTTTCCTCCCTCGCTCTGTTTTCTGGACATTGAGAAAGAGCAGTGATGGAAAATCCTGAAGCAGCCAGTCCTGCTTCTCACCAAACCGCTGGAATAATGCTCATGAAGACATCAGTCGTGCCAGGCTCTATTTAAGGCTCATGACAAACACATTTCTATTTTCCTGAACAGACTGAATTTGGCAAAGGCTGCTAATGTGGCGCCTGCTAATATGACAAACACACAAACAATCTCTTGTTTAAAAGTCATATTCTTCATTTCTAAGTAAAGCTGCATAAAACAAGCTAAAATATTTCTTGAGCGACAGCAATACGCTAGCTATACCTCTGCTGAAGGAGTCACTGGGTTTCTTAGGAGAAACACAACCTTTCATGAGCAGAGAAGGGAAAAACTGGACCACTAATAAGATGGAAAGCAAACTCACCTGACCGTGAGCTGTCGTGCGAATCCCTCCAACACTAATACTGCTTTCTGTCATCATTCATCCACGTGAGCCTCCAAAGGAGATGCTGTCAAAGATGTGCATGTCTTTCTTTCTTCGGTTAAAAGGAATTTAAGGTTTTTAAGGAAAACATTCCAGTATTTTCTCCATATTCAATGGGGTCCAACGGGCCGAAGGTCCAGATGTGAGTTTCAGTGCAGCTTCAATCAAAGTCTCGACACGATCCAGCCGAGGAATACGAGTCTGATCTAGACAAACCAGCGACATTTACAACAAAATACGTAAGCAATAAGGTACGAGAGGCTGTGCTGTGTGGTGAATCAGGGCGTTGTTAGGCTCAACGCGAAACGGAGTAACTCCTTCAGCCGTTACTCATTCACCATACAGCACTTGCCTCCTCGAAGTACCTTATTGCTTTTATAAAACGGTTGCCACATAATATTAAATTAAAAAACAACGTATTAGTGCAACTTTCTTGAAGTAAAATCACTAAAAGCCTTCCTTCCGCTGGAAAAAATAGTCCCTGAGCGTGAACAGCAACAACGCTCCAATGTGTAAAATGCATGAAAGCTCAAATAAAAACAACACAGAACCGCAGTGTTGCGCAGCGATCAATAGAACTGTTGAAGCGGTCATAGACGTGTTTTATCGTGAATAAAGCACAGCTCTCGACCAATCAGAATCAAGGATTCGAACTAACCGTTTTATAAACATTTATATACTTTTAACCACTCATGCTGGTCTTCCACTAGCTGCGATGTGACACACATTACGCCATCACGCGTGTTCCAGAGTTGGGCGAAAAACTCCATCGTGGAAAATGAGCATTTGTGGTTAAAAAGTATATAAATGTTTGTTTTTTTTATTAAACGGCTGATGGTTTTGCTAGATAAGACTCTTATTCCTCGGCTGAGACTCTGAAGCTGCACTGAAACTGACATTTGGACCTTCAACCCGTTGGACCCCATTGAATGTTTTCCTCTAAAACCTTAATTTCTGTTCGACTGAAGAAATAAAGACATGGACATCTTAGATAACGTGGGAGAGAGTCAATGATCAGGAGATTTTAATTCTGAAGTGAACTAATCTTCTAATCACGATAATGCTTCTTATAATTGAATGTAAAGAGTGAATCTTTCATAGTGTTTCTGTTATTTTGGAAGTGAATGGAAACCACATCATCGTCCAGTAGTGTGTGTGTCTCTGTGGTCTCAGGGTCGGTCTCCTGCTCCGCTGCGATGAGTCCTCATGCCTGGATGTTGTGCGCTCTTCTCTGGGTCTTCACCGGTGAGCGGAGCCAGGGCTCTTCCAGGGGGCCCGTCCCGAGCCGAAAGAGGAGGCTCGCTGACGACAGGGAACCCAAAAAGTGCTCCTACACGTTCTTGGTCCCGGAGCAGAGGATCACAGGGCCGATCTGCGCCAGCCAGGGCCCTTCCCTGCCCGATAAAGAGCGCGTGACGCGGACGGACGTGGCGGACGTCCGCGAGATCTTGACCAAGCAGAGGCGTGAGATGGACACGCTCCGGTTGGTCGTGGACGTGGATGGAAACATGGTCAACGAAATGAAACTGTTGCGTAAAGAGTCGCGCAACATGAACTCCCGCGTCACACAGCTGTACATGCAGATGCTGCACGAGATCATCCGCAAGCGGGATAACTCCCTGGAGCTGGCGGCGCTGGAGGGCCGGGTCCTGAACGGCACGGCGGAGGCGCTGCGGGTGTCCGGCCTCTACCGGGAGCTGGAGCTGCGCTTCTCCACGCTGGCGGCGCTGGTCAACAACCAGTCTTTGCTGATCGCCGCTCTGGAGGAGCGATGCCTGCAGGTGTACGGGAGTCACCCACGGGAGCCGCCGCCTCCGCCGCTCCTGCAGGTCGTGCCGGAGAACATCCCCGTGAACGTGCCCCGACTCTCCAACGAGATCCAGAGGAGCCCCGAGGACAGGCCAGCTCGTCAGGCCAACGCCAGTCTGGAGGGTAACACTGACCCAAACACACGTCAGGCATTGCCATGACACCCATGATAAATGCTGTGTTTTATTTCATCTGATGTGAGTTTGAATATCATTGATAATCGCAGACTGATCCTGATCCCGTAAACCTGAACATACTAACTGTGAGCAAACAAGAGTAATACATGACGAAACTTTTGTGAAAATCAATAAAAATGTTGGCTGTGACTGGCAAATAGAGTTAGAGTTAACTTCATTACAGTGAGTGCATGAACTCGTTGCTTAAGGTAAAAGAGTCTGCCGAATGCATGAATGTAAGTCCAGCATATCAGGCGAATGTATAAGCAAGGCTTTACTGCTCCTTCCTTCCTCATCAGCACTCACTAGTGTGTTCTGGTGTCCCGAGGTCCGTTCCGGGACTGTGTGCAGGTGATGCAGGCGGGACACACCACCAGCGGGGCGTACCTGCTGACGCCGGAGGGCTCGGAGACGCCGGTGCAGGCCTGGTGTGAGCATGACGTGGACCGAGGCGGCTGGACCCTCATCCAGAGGAGGAAGGACGGGTCCGTCAACTTCTTCAAGAACTGGGACAGCTATAAGGTGTAGTGATGGCCAACGCATCTATCAAATCATTCTGTAACGGATAACAGTTGGAGACCCCTCTGTGCTAGCAGTGGCAGATAATATTAAAGTGGTCATATTCTGCTTTTTTCATCTCTCTTTAGTGTGTAATGTTGATCGTTGATCATGAAAAAGCTCGGTATATCAGTGTCGGTGTTCCTGAACTCCTGAAACGCCTCCACTGTAGTCTTGAGTTTATTCCGGGAACACGTCACAATATTCCTCATTATAATAATTAATATGCAGACTAAAGGGGCGGGGCCTGGTTGAGTTAGTTAGTAGTGTGTTAAACTGCCTGTTATAGTAAGGGGTGGGACATTTCGAGAACCAATCACAACACACTGCTCCAGCCGGCCAATCAGAGCACAGTGTGTTTTTCCGAAGGAGGGGCTCCTGTACAACAGTCTTTTGGGTTTATTGGTGAAGCTGTGCAGAATATTGCTTGATCTGAGCCGAGCCGAGGCGTTCAGAGAACCACAGACGCTGTTGCTGAGTGTGTGTCAGAGAGGCGGACGCTAACATTAGAGACGAACAGCTGGATCTTGTTTTGATTGCACACACACGCATTGAAGTCTCCTAAACCTCATCCTAACACAAATCCCAGAGTTGATGAGCTGCTTCGGGTGTGTTTGAGTTGTAACTGACCCCGTCACTCGTTCACTCATGTGTGCTGGCATCAGTCTGGTGATATCTCAATCATCCATCGTCAGCTAAGCCCAGTTGCTCAACGAAGCCTTTCCAGAGTGACGGGAATAAAAACAGTGTTTTCAACAGCTCTCTTTTCCTTTTCCTCCAGAAAGGCTTTGGAAACGTGGACGGCGAGCACTGGCTGGGTCTGGAAAGCATCTATAACCTGGGCAAGCAGGATGACTGCAAGCTGCTGGTGGAGCTGGAGGACTGGATGGGTAAAAAGGTTTACGCGGCGTACAGCAGCTTCTACCTGGAGCCGGAGAGCCGGGCGTACCGTCTGCGTCTGGGCTCGTACCAGGGCAACGCTGGAGACTCCCTGACCAGCAACAACGGCAAGCCCTTCACCACGCTGGACCACGACCACGACGACTTCTCAGGTGCTTCCACACGCGTGTCAAACCCTGGCTCAGTCAGATCCCTTACACACACCACATCTCAACACACAGGCTCCTAAATCCCAACCGATGAAGTTTTTGCAGGGAATATTCCCCACGATCAACGTCAATGCTCTCATGTTTGCGCGAATCATTTCTCGCCAGACTGCTTTATAAAGGAGGGTCAGTGTAAAGCTGGTTTTGCTAAGAAGCTGCTCCTGAATAAAGAATCGGTCCCAACCAGAAGTGGTATGATAACTTATAAGCGATTGTTTGATTTAATCAGCAGGATTTACTGCAATGTCAGAACCAGAACTAAAGTGGATGTACTAGTTCAAAGGACATTTCCCGGTGAAAATGATTATGTTGGTCATACTTCCTAAAAGAATAATCTGTGTTTGTGAATGCCAGTATCCACACCGGCGCGGCGACTGACAGACACACACATTCTCCTCAAACACTGATCCGTGCTGTGCCGTGCCGAGGCACAACTCGTGTAAAGTGGATAATTCCGTGAATGACTGCAATTGCAGATTTCGAACAGAGATGGCGTGCTGTTACCTTGCAATGGGCTCTATGCACGTAATATGGTGACGGGTTGTCTTGTCTTTTGCAGGGAACTGTGCTGATTTCCACAAGGCCGGCTGGTGGTACAGCGCCTGCGGTCAGACCAATCTGAACGGCGTGTGGTATTCAGGAGGAGTGTATCGCAGCCGGTTTCAGGACGGCATCTTCTGGGCCGATTACGGAGGAGGGTTTTACTCCATGAAGTCTGTGCGTATGATGATCCGGCCCGTCGACTGACGCCCGAGCGGACCACGGGTACCATCGATGGGTTCATCTGTCCTTATGCCTCAGGTCTCAACCAGTCGGCTTTACTAGTGTTTGGGGTTAACTTAACATTGTGTAATGAAACTGAAATAAAATTAAAGAGATTTCTAACATTTGTGTCGACTATTGTGAGCTTTCCACCCAGAAGAACAAGTAGGAAGACTTTCATGTAAATGTTGATGAAACGTATAGCTGAGATGCAGGCGGCGCGGGAAGTGTGTGTGTGTGTGTGTGTGTGTGTGAGGAACCGCTGGGAGGGAAGCGGGCCACATTTCTGTGGTTGGTGTGTGTGTTTTCCTTCTGCTCCATCAGTCCTGCCTAAAGCACACGACTTTACCACTTCATCACACTCACAGTCGGTCCGTCCACCGCAACCACCCAATAAAATATAACAGAGCCAACTGACACTTTTTACCTCACAATTCACTTTTCTCTCAGAATTGAGCAGTAAAACCATATAACCTGAGGTTTGGACCATATTTCTCAAGCCTCCATACTTTGGAAATGCGGACGGGGCAGATAATGTTATTACAACATGGCGTCTCATAACCCGTCCAGTTCCTGTCATGTGACCCGTATTAGTGTCTGTACTGCTCAACCACACACATGACGAGCGTTTTTCTTCATACAATGCCATTCTTTCTTCATTGTCTGGCTCTCGGAAACGCAAAGCACCTCTTGATAGTTCGTCAGGAAACCTGAAGCGATGAAAGCCCTGAGGGACCCGGACCTGTGAGAAACTCTCACACACACCATCTCATCGAGAGATGACCTTCATCCCAGCGCCACGCCATCACAGCCGATCTACAGAGTATGGTACTCGAAACAACACCAGACTTGAGCAGTTAACCCGCCGCGTCTCCTCAAACGGACTAAACGAGCAATAACAGGCACCACAGAAACTCCAACACGCCTTTGGAGAGCGTTTACTGTGGACAGAAATCCCACTATAGGGTTTATAGGTCACATTCGGTGTGTTAAACTGGAGCCGTGTGTGTGTTTCTGTGTGTTTTATCCTGTGTGTCTGGTGTGGAAGAGCTCCTGGTCTGCTCCTTCAATGAGTGTGTGTGTGTGTGTGTGCGTCTGATCAACACACATGAGGACAACATCACATAGTGTGTGTATAGCGCAGTCAGATGGTCTTCGATGCTGTACGTCTCAATGGTTCTCCTGTCTGCAGCACACGCGTGACGCTCACACTCATACACACACACACACCTGAGCGCGTCCACGCAGAAGTGCAAACCTCAGATTAGCATAGCCGCGTCGGGCCTCAGATTAGCATAGCCGCGTCGAGCCTCAGCGCACAGTGTGACCCAGTGTTTGAGCCGAGCGCGAGCAGACGCTGGACTCCCCGGAGCGGATGCTGAGAGCAAGGTGACATCTTTGGCCCGTATGCTGAGACCACACACACACACACACACACACACACACGCTTCTGAACGGGCTGAAGAGAGCCTTTGTGTGTGTAGGAGCTGCTGAGAGATGCTGTGGAAACACTCGTGGTCTCTCGGAGTCTGTCTGTTAATTCAGCACACAGATAATAATAAATAAATAATAATAATAATAATATCTGATGCAGAGATCATACTCGAAGCTCGTGACCCAGTCGCAGGAAGTGCAGGTCGATATAAACGATATAAATACTGTTCATTTTCTCACACAAACCGCTCGTTTCGTGTCTCAGGCCATCAATGTGTACTTACATTTATGAGTCATTAAATCATGTTTAATTTGGACTTCTCTGTGCTGCTCTTTGAGGTGGTGACCATAGACCTCCATTATATGACTGACAGACAAGAACGGTTTGACCTAAAAATATAAAAAATGGAAAATGCTGTGGAAACAAAGACACCTACATCTTGGATGCCCTTGAGGGAAGCTAAAACATATCAAAAATTTATTTCAAAGTGAACTATCCCTTTAAACTTAAACAAGGGTTAAACTCTTGTCACTGTAACAAGTGCATTGCGCCCTCTGCTGGCACAGATGAGCGACGCCACCCCTCTATCCCACTTCAAGATCAGCTTTCATTTGCTGTCTCAATCTGGTTATTCTGACACCTTCAGTTTAAATCTGTATTTTTGTAACAGCACATCTCCAGGTTATATTGTGGCATGCAGATGTAGTTGATGTTTATGTTGAACGACATCCAACGTTTGCTATTTGTTTTCCATTTTAATCAGCTGCTTTCACATATTAGGCTTGTTAAATTACTGACCAGTTAATACACAAACAGCGGCTGTCAATCAAAAAGAGAAGGGGAAAAACAGATGCCATTGATCTAAATGTACAAATAAATGTTGGGAAATTTAGGGAAGAATGAAAATCACTTAAAGGGTGGTTTATCAAAACTGGAAGGAAGTGGGATTTTAAAGAAGACTAGATACTAGAAACAGGAACTAATCAGTTGGAATTTATTAGGGAATTAGTTGAATGTTTACTTGAAACTGGAGAGAATAAAGTCATGCGTTTACACACTCTAATACAGCAGGTGGCGGTGTGACCCCTGCGATGGTCTGTAACCCGCCAAGAAACGAAGAAGAAGAACGCGTCATCGCAGCTTCCGGTGTAGCAATGGCCGCTCATGCGAGTGAACTAGAGATCGCCAAGAAGAATTTAACCGATGCTATCGGAGATAATGTCAAACAGTGAGTGTGTATGAGCGGTAAATAATGTCAAACAGTGAGTGTGTATGAGCGGCAAATAATGTCAAACAGTCACACACTGACTCAGAACACTGAGATAGATGTGTGATGTAAACACTGATCGAGGAACTGTTAGTTTTATTAACAACACTTCTCTGGTGTCGTCTGAAGCTTAACAGTTATTTTAATGTCAGTGTTTGAATATTCGTTGAATATGAGTTTTTCTGCCATTTATTGAGCTGTACAGTTTGTGTTGAAGTAATTTCAGTACTTTTTATATCAAATCAAAGTCTTTAAATCTCACGCTGACTGTATTTTGTTTGGGGTTTAATATAACAAATGGAAATGTAATTTCACTGCTTACATACTGGATGCTAATCTAGTGGAAAACGTTTAAACAAAAAGTATTATAATTTGCAACTTGCAACTCAATTATTAGTTGAATTTCTTTATACTAGTCAATATTAGGAGAGAAGAGAAAGTTACAGTGTTTTAAGTCCGAATTATAAGCTAAAAAAAAGTTTTGACAGTCATAATTAACAGGAAATTGAATGTTTAATGTCATAATTAACAAAGCTGAAATTTGATATACTGTCAAAATTGACAAAAAAGCTGAATTTATGATATACTTATTGGTCATAATTGTAAGATACAAAGACAAAAACATGGGTTTTGGTTCTGATGGCTTGACGCATAAGACTTTTGTTGTTATTGTTTGCTTCGGCAATAGGAGCAGTAAGAGTTGAAGGATAAAAAATAAAACATATGTATAGCAATACTCGGCGCGCCCCCTAACTTTAGAGCGTAGAGATTAAATATTTACTCGCGGGGATGATTTACCTCATGTCAGCTCGCAGACTTACAGGCACACACACACAGTTCGGAGAGAAATAAAACGCACCGAAATTATTTAAACGTAAAACCGAATTCACAAGCACGTATTGAACTGTGTATTTCGTCCCGAGCAGTTCAATAATATATTGAGAATCGTGGCATCCCTAATTATTACTAAGTCACACTGATGTTTGTCTCTGCGTGTGTGTGTGTGTGTGTGTGTGTGCTCTCGTTCTCAGTTACTGGGCCAATCTGAAGCTGTGGTTCAAGCAGAAGATCAGCAAGGAAGAGTTTGATACGGAGGCGCGGCGCCTGCTGGCCCAGGACCACGGTAAGGTCACGCTCCCGTACGGCTCGCGCTGACCCCATCGACTGCAGCTCACGCTCGTGTGTTTCCCTCCACAGTCCATGTGCACAATGACTTCCTCCTGGCCATTCTCACCCGCTGCCAGATCATCGTGTCCACCTCAGGTAGTCCAGCACTCGCACATCTGACGCTCAGCATGGGGTTAGTGTGTGTGTGTGTGTGTGTCTGATGTGTGTGTGTGTGTGCAGAGGGCGCGGGGGCGCTGCAGTGGACCGGCGGATCCGCATCTAAACCCGGCAAACCCAACCGAGGCAAGAAGAAGTTTCCCTCCGTTCGGCAGAAGTTCGATGTTAGTTCTGTTTTATTCTCACTCACATCATTACCATATTCACAAATATACGTCTCGCTTAGTGAAAAACAAGTTCTGCTCAAAACCTTCATGATTTGGTGCAATGGAAGTTTATTCTCATGACCGCTCATATACTGTAATATTTGCTTGAATGTAAAGTGGCTTTTTATTTCCTCTTATTTACTATGAATATTTACCCGTAACTTCATGTAGACTCCTGTGGTGGAAACACTGAGTCCGAGTTGTTGCTGGTCTAGGGCTGTAAGTGTGTGTGTGTGTGTGTGTGTGTCGCAGCACCGCTTCCAGCCCCAGAACCCCCTGCAGGCGGCACAGGCCTTCAGCCCTCGAGAGGCGGAGGACGAGGAGCTACGGCTCAGCGCACAGACGCTGCTGCTGCCCACCAGAGGACAGATGGAGGCGCGCATGATGGTCAGCGCCTTCGAGATGGGCCTGGACAACGTGAGCGAGGACGCCGTCAGCAGCCTGCTGTGCGCTCTGGAGGTCATTCATAACAGCTTGTGCTTTCAGAAGGGTTCTCTAGCTCACCTATGAAGCTGATCTCGCTTTCACGGCTCATGGACTTTTAGAAGAATTTATACTTTGCATAAAAAAAGCACATTTTATGTTTTGTTAAGGGCTGAATTGAGTGACACAATGACACACTCATCATTCACAGTTACCCAGTGACTTCATTACATCATGCATTTATTGAACTTTATAAAAACAAGCCTTCAAGTCAAATTTGCTGGTATAGCACACTGAAAAACCACTACGTTCATGTTTGTAATACTTTAATATTAGAGCTTGGTGGTAATGTAGTTAATGAAGTACAGATATCAGGCATTGGAGGAAGAGCTGTAAGAGAAAGACTACACCGATCGAACTCAAGACAGAACAAGAGCGTATCTTTATCCTGTAAGTGAGAGTAAAACGTGCTAAATGTGCCCATACTCTTGTGCAGGTTCATTTGAAGG